ATGACTTCAACGAAGAGTTAATGAATAATGCTCTACTGCTATTTGGAAGGAGCTCCATTTATATAGGATGAGTAGGGTCTAATTCTTTGTTGAAGAGGAATGATGATAACATCCTGAGATGGGTAAGAGGATTGTTTATATTAGATATCGTTATTTATTCACGGCTGCTATATGTCTGTGTGCAACATTTGCAAAATGTTTAGCAACTTTTTCATGTAATAAATGTAAAAAAAATAGAATTTTCGTGTACAGGTAGTAATTGAAGCAAATCTCCAAGTGAAAGTACATACTTTTGACTGATTCAACCGTTATCATTAGTGTCAAATGTTTCAGATAATCGAAGATGTATGTACATTGATGTCAAATTTGATATCATATTTGATTTATACTTTATCAATAACAAAAGAATAATATTTTTGAGATTTGCTCGAAAAAGTTTCAATACATGATCAGATAATTGTTAAATTTAGGAGTATGACTATTGTAACAGAGCATCCGAAAGATGCTCCGTTACTAGCGCGCGCTAATGCGGCATCATCCGAGGCCGCCCGAATACTCCCGACCGCGACCGATCGACACACGCGCGCCGGCGAGCTGTCACGCATCAACGACGTGACAGCTATTGTTTCTTAACAAACGCTAACAAATTAAACGGTGACACGTGGCGCGGATACGGGTATAAATACCCGACAAATTTTAAAAAAAGAGACCAGTTCTATCCGCTCCTCCAACCTGTCCGCCACAAACAACCGTTCCGACCAAAACAGCGAGAGAAGTTCTCTCAACGAATACCGAGCGTTCTCCGTATTCCTGTTCTATCCTTTCTTGAGAAATCGGAGTGTTCTCAGCTTTCTCGTTCCGCAACAAATACCGAGCGTTCTCGATATTCTTGTTCCTCCCTTCCGGGGAAAAATCGGAGTGTTCTCTTTTCCTCCTCTCGACAATACCGAGCGTTCTCAGTATTGTCGCTCCATCTCATCTCGAAAGTCGGAGCGTTCTCGGACTTTCCCGCGACATCCGCCCCACGGACGCCCTCACGGCCAGCGTCAACGGTTGCCTAGCAACACACACGTGCGGACCCGGTTGTCTGGCAACGCGCTACCAATACGACTCCCGGCGTCCGACATATCCGCAATCGAATCGTGTTACGAACATCGCAAAGCGATCGGCAAAGAAAACGACAACGAACGACCGCGCAAAGCGAGAGGCGTCACAAATTTATTGTAAATAAATTAAAAGCCCAGCGGCCGCAACACATCTCACGAACCCGGCATCCGACGAGCGATAACCGAGCGCACGTCCCCGCGTCCGTGCCCAGGGATAAGATCCGAGCGCGCAGGGACGTACCGTTACACTATGTTCAGCGGGTAATTAAAACAATCTATGATTTGTCGAATTATCTATATTATATGTAGCTATACCAGTAGATGCTCTAGCAGTATCTTTATTAAATTTTTGTTTTATCCAGCATTTAACAGACTTAATTAAGAAACTTTTTTTTATTACCTTCTCCGCTAACATATGAACGTAACATTAATTTATCAGATTTCATATCAATAATCCTATATTGAATATTCTTTTCTGATCCATATTTAATTTTGCTATCATTTCAGATATATCGATTTTTTAAATTATTTTATCATCAAGATCTTTAAAATTTTGCATGGCTTCATCAGTCGTGATCATTATTTCATATTTTAAATGCCTATCGGATTTTTAGGATTATCTTAAGGTTGTAATTTTTGTAAATTGTCATCTAGATCATTTAGATGTTGTTTAATTATTTGTTTTGCCGTTTCAAACGCTTTTTGTAATTCTTCTAATTTTTCGTACTGTAATGTGTAAGAATTAGACGACCGTAAGCGGTCATGAAAGAGATATCTTTCAAATGCTTCTACAAGATCTAATTTTTATGAGATGATTCAACATAAATATCACATTCGTTTCTAAAATCTTCTAACTTTCGACATGGTACATAAGTAATAATGAAAAGAAATATTTTTCCGAATATGTCTTATTATTATACTTATAATAATTAAGAAAATATTCATGCTGTCGTCATTAATAAAATAACTATTATCCATTGTATTATACTCACTATACTTATTTTGTGGTTTTAATTTTGAAATATCATACTGTTTTACAAATTTACAAAAAGACATTTTCCAATTCGTTTGGTCTATGAATAATAATCATCTATTACAGATGGATAAAATATACCTGTAGATTCAGAATCAAGAGCTTCAATTTCTTTGCAGTTTTTTATTTTGTATTTGATTTATATCTAACCATTCTCCAATACTTGTATTTCGATCAGTTCTATAAAGGAATACTTAGCAACGTATTAGTAGCTTTGAGAACACCATATTTTCTATTATTAGTAAATCGTAAAGCAATGTTCCAAAGATAACTCGATAATAACTTATCATATTCTTGTAACGGAGCGCATCCCTCCGCTCCATTCCTCCTCCGAATTTCCCCCGATCGACCATCCATCGGGGATCGCCGAACACCGGGCGGAGTGCGGCAGTGGCCGCAAAGAGGCAGTAATGCCTCCTTTTTAATCTATCCATACACGAACTCCGAAGCATCGGAAAATACCACGAAAACATGTATGTTTTCGTGGTATTTCCCCGCACCGCGCCAAGCGTCGCGCCAACAAGCGCTAACGCACTCCGCATCGCACCACGCACCGTACCACCGAGCGTGAACGCGTCCCGCATCGCGCCACGACTGCGTCCACAAGCGCGCAAACCATCCCCGCACCGCGCCGTTACCTTCCCACCGAATTCCTTCCCTACCTTTAATCATCCCCCACTCCTATCCCCAAAAAACCAATTATATCCGATCCTTTTTTCCGCTCCTGGGGAGAGGGATGCTAATCCCGAGATCGATCAATTCGACCGATCCGACCGAAAATATCGAGGTCGATCTCGGGTATAAAAAGGCATCGCTCTCCACAGGAAATCACTCCTCGTTTACTCCTGTTCCTAGCTCGTTTTCCGAGAGCCCGTCTCAAGGAAGCGAGCATCCGAAACCGGTAGCAAGCCTGAGTTTTGTTGGGGCTCTCCCCAACGCGCCAAGTTCGCTTGGTCTGGCCGAAAGCCGTCTCCGTATCTCCCACGGCAAGCCGAGAGTTGCTGGGGTCTCCCCAGCGCGTCGAGTCCGCTCGACCCGACTCCGCCGCTCCCGAGATTTCACCGCCGGGGTTCTCCCCGATACCACCTCTCCGAGCACCAGGGTACACCCTGGTCAGCCGAGTATACTCGGCATCGCCACTTTCTTCTCCGCACGCAGCCGGGGCCCTCCCTGGTTGGCCGAGTTCACTCGGCATTCACGCAGACAGACGAGGGGCATACCCCCTGTCAGCCGAGCCCTCTCGGCAGGGAACGGGCACACCCGTTCTCCGATCTAAACGATCCGACGACCTCGTGAAATATCCACCCTCGCGACAACATCCGCGACACGCGTACACGTTAAATCGACGCCGATTTAAAAGCCCGCGACGAACACGTGCGACACCGCCGCCACCGCGCGCGTCCCGCACCACCGAACTGCGCGCCGCGATCAGTATCGCGCCGACCGCCCGAGCGATATCTTATTTTATATCCACGCGCTATCCGCGCGCCGATCGCCGTCCACGGCCACGAACAATTGACGCGAAGATTCGGTGCATTCCATCGCACCACTATTGGTTAAATAAAGCATCGTTATTTGTTATAATTATCGCCTAACAATTTAATAACAACTTTCTGTCTCCAACGTCCTCGCTTCCCCTCCTGGCAACCGACTGACCGCTCTCCGCGCGGGAAAGCGAGACCGTTTTATTCTTATTATTAAGAATAGAATCACACTCAATTTTAGCTGCTTTATTCATATATTTAGTGACCAAGTAGGCAAGGATGATTTTTTGCCAATAAATTGCATATCCATATTTCCCTCTCATGTAGTAAGAAGAATTATAACTATTTATATCAACTTTATTCTTTGTTCGAGGGAGATCGTAAAATCTGCTCTTATGTTTTAATTGTTTTCTATCTGCTATTGACATTGCAACATCTCTTACAATAAATGTTTCAGTGATGGGACGAGGAAATTCAAAACGACACCTACGAACAATTTTACGTTTTTTTTGTTTAGAACGAAGACAATAATTATTGTGTATAATTGTGTCGCTGAGGCGTACTAACACGTCTATATAACGATGGAGAAATATTTTTGTCTGGCATTTTGCAACTTATATGTTGTAAAATAAATTTACTTATTTCTGTTGCAGAAGTTTCACCAAGAGTCGATGCATTTTTAATCCAAATTAATAAATGAAGATATTTTATATCTCTACCTTGATATTCTCATCGCCAGAAATAATGTATGTTTCTCAAACTGGAATTCTTCGGAATTAATAAAGTCAAGCATTGCTTTAAATTTAATATCGAGGAATATTAATGTTATCGCAGGATTTCTAGCAATAAGAATACTAACACTTAAAAGAAGTGTCATATCATCCATTCACTTCACGAATGTATTCACCTAAGTCTTCCCATATCCATTCATTTAGACTTAGAGTTAAAACAGTCTCACTTTTCCCACGCGGATAGACTTCAGTTCGTCAAGGTGAGGAAGTGAAAGGAAATAAAAAATACACAAAGAGATATTCATGTAGATTAGTTTTCATTTGATCAATGATAATAATATAAATATTTCGCGATGTTCGGGCGACGTATCTTGGTATATGACCGATAAACAGATTGGTTTTGCGGACGAAGATACAATTGTTTTCGTTTGTATATTAAGTTTTAAGGCCATGTCACACTATATATTGCGGATGCGGATTTGAATTAGGATTGCGGATCGATGAATTTGAATTTTTCGTTCACATTACGAATTCAATTTGTGATATATGCGTTTACTAGTATGCTGTGACAATATTCAGTTTATAAAATTATAATTTTAATCAATACATAAAAAACTGTATTTGTGTCTATTATTTTTAATAATAGCTGAAGATGAATCAGATGACGAAACGCATAAGCAGAGAATGAATTTCTAAATGGAGCAAGAAGAAAAGAAAAAGATTTGCACCATAATCTTTTTTGGAACTTGCTTTGGAAGATCCTAATTGATTCAGAAGGTTTGTTATAAATTAAAAAATATAATTTATAATTGAAAATGATAACTTAAAATTTTTATTTCAAAGCAATTTGTTATTTAGGTGCCTTAGAATGAATACAGACACTTTTGAATTTCTTTTTAAAAAAGTTACTCCTCTAATTAAAAAGTAAAAAATACTTAATTAAAGGAAAGCATTTCACCCAATGAAAGACTATCGGTTACTTTGCGACATTTAACAACAACAAGTAAAAAAACAGAATAAAGTCGATTGATAATAGTTGTGTATTTTGCAACTAAACTTTTTTGTATTTGTTATTGCAAAAGAGAAAGTCAAGAATTGTTAGCTCTTACATTCAGACTTGATAGAAATACCATTTCAAAAATTATAAAAGAAGTAACAACAGCAATAATTACAGAAAGGAAAATTTCTTCGCTTTTCCTACACTGAGAATGAGTGGCGTGTGATTAACAATGGTTTTGGAGAGCAATGAATTTCCATCATGTTATTGAAGCAATGGATGGAAAACATTGCATTATTGATCCTTTACTACCTCTAATCTGGATCTATGTTTTATAAAGGAGACTATTGTAGTATTATTGGCTTTGGTAGATGCACAATTACATTTTATGTTGATGTAGGGACTAATGGCAGAGTAAGTGACTCTGGTATTTGGAATAAATGCTCTTTCAAAAATCATTTAGATAGTGGTACTCTACACATTCCTCCTCCTGCATCATTGCCAGGCATACAAGACAATTTTTCCTTTGTGATTATTGGAGATGAAGATTTTCCATTATCAAAGAACCTTTTGATTCTTTATTCAGAACTTCAGTGTAATGAAATGGAAATACATAGAAGAATATTTAATTACAGGTATGTCTATTTACATAAATTGGAGAGCCGAAAATGCAAGAGGCATAATAAATTTAGCTCACCGAGATGGCAATCGATATCCAAGTCAAGCAATTGCACTTAGAGATAGATGGAACGATTATTTCAATACTGTTGGTGCAGTTTCTTGGCAACGAATGATTCAATGAATTATTGGAAACAATAAATAAACAATAAATGTAACTGTTATTATAATATATTATATAATATATTATTATATGTATTATTACATATATTGAAATAAAATGCTTTACTCTGTTTTGAAAAATGAAATTTATTTTTATCATATATTATCTCATTTATTTATTATATTTTACTTATTTCTTATTACTAGATCAATCTTACAAAAATTCTTATTGCTAATACAATCTTATAGATTAAAATAAAGAAACTTTGGCTTTCAATAATACTTCAGTATTTCAAAAAAATAATGAACGAAGACATTAATAATTGAGACAATGAATTATAGTCGAGCTATTACAATATAATATAATAATTCAAAATCAACATACTCGTATATATTCTTCCTTTTAACAACAAATAAAAGTAAAAACCAAAATGTAATATAACATAATATAAAAAATAAAACAAAGTACAAACTTAAAAATAATACAAATTACTGCTATTTAAAAAATTTGTGTAAAATTAAACAACTTACTATATAATAACTTATTTTGGCTGAGACAAGATTTTCCTTTTATAATATCTCGATCATTCGGAGTCATTGATCGAAGCTTAGGTGCGATGTATGTACCAAGCATGTCAAATCCATTTATCGTATCCATTTTTGGAGAAGATACATTTTCTTGGGCCATATCTTTTATGATATTCAGGGCATCATCCATTACTTTAGATTTTTTTGAATTTCACCGTTTCACATACAATGAATTTTTAATAGGGCGTTTAATATTTAATGGAGCTAATACAGGTCTAAGACAAGTAATCATTTGAAGTGAAAGATCTGATGTATCATTTATTGTCAATTTATTTTGACTAGCAGATGTGATAGATGATTGATTAAATGTAAACTCAAGTGATGCTGGATTTGGTACAAATTTAGATAAAATGTATGATTCTGATTCTATAGAAAATGGTAATATTTGATAGTGGTTTGTACTTGCTGTATTGCTACAGTCAGATAAATTAAGTGGAATAAGCACATATTGCTAAAAATAAAAATCAAAATATATCAAACATAAATATATCAAATGTTTACGAAAAATAATTAAAAAATATTTTATATTAATGATATTGAACAGATTAATAATATTCACAGACATATATTCATTGATAAATAAATGATAAAAAATTTCCATTGGAAATAATAGAAAATAGAAATACAATAACATAAAAATGTTACATTTACTTTAACGTTTTCATCATAATATTTATTTGTAATCATAAATCATAATATAAATTTAAATAAATAAAGGATCCATCATTTTTGGCTGGATAAAGAAATATCACTTTGCAAGGAAAGATTGTCACTCTGTGCACAAGTTCTCTATAAAAATGAGAGCATATCATAATATTCCCACTTTGTTTATCTGTTCCTTTCCCACTATATATTTTATCTGTTCCTTTCCCACTACAACGAGCTTTTGATTTTTTTATTTTTCCTTCATTTTCACGAAAAATATTTTCCATGTTTTGAAATTATTTGTAAACCATATTTCCTGCAGTAATTTAGTGAAAGAAAATATTGTAATGGTGCATCTTTTCCGACGTTGCGGATTAGCTCACCGGTGCCAAGATTCAGGAGAAAGGGATGATCCGAGCTTACAATCAACACAGCAATTAACCAAAATATAAAGTTTATTGAGTGACTAATTATATACAGAGAGTCAGTGTGCGTGTGCGTGTGTGTGTGTGTGTGTGTGTGTGTGTGTGTGATATGCGAACGCAGCGGTGATAATATTTATAACGATAAACGGAACACACAAGCTCGCTAAAGCGGAGTAGCGATATCGTGAAAGATACAAGGCTCGTAGAAGCGGAGTGAATTGATATATGGCGCAAGAGAGAGCGGGAGAGACTTACAAGCTAACTATGTACACTATATACAAGTCCCAAGCGAGGGCAGCTGTGCGCGTTCAAACACGTTACCGACGCCGGCTTTGGAGAGGTAGTACTGTGATCTCGTTAAAATAAAAAGACCAACGCCGGTAGCATTCTGGCTTCAGAGAGAACACCCTTCTCCGTGATCTTGTCAGGATAGGAAGGCTGATAAGGAAGTCTCGGCCGAGGTTCGGGAGCACCTTGTCTCGCTCGAGACGGAAACTGTGCCGGCGAGCCTATATACCGCTCCGGCTGCCCCTACCTCTATGATTCTCTCCAGTGGGAGAAGTTCCCCACGATAGGAATTACACGGGTAATGGCGCTCTAAGAGACCGGGCTGGTGGTCGGCTCCTAAACTAGTAACGGCATGCCGTTACAATATTAATTGAATAACATGATAACAACACAACATCTTAAAGTAACATTTTAACATCACATAATCTTATTCAATAACTAATTATTTATGTATATATGTTCACACTATTCATTTTTCAAAGTTACAAATCTAATTATTCATATTATTATTTCAAACAATAACGTAAATTTAATAAATAAATTCATTAAATTCAATAAATAAAATAAATAAATCATATATACGAGAGCAAATCAATAAGTATCATGTTAATAATGAAGACGCAAGTTTTTCATAAAAATTTTATTTTATTTTATTTTTCAACATAATCTCCTTTTAGGAGGATACACTTTTCCTAACGCTCCTGCTATTTTTTTGGCAACCCTTCCGAAAAATATGATTTATCGAACTCTGCAATAGGTCTCTGTTTCGGCGATGACCTCTTCATTCGATGTGAATCTCTTTCCACCGAATCATTTTTTCAAGTTTGAAAACAGGAAGAAGTCGCAGAGTGTCAAATCTGGAAAGTACGGTAGATGCGACAGCAATCGCGTACGCGCAATTCGGCGGTGGCGACTACGGAGGAGTAAGCCGGTGCATTGTCGTGAACGACATTTGGAACAATACGTGGAACAACACTTTTTTTGCCAAATGAGACCGTTTTTTCTTCAATTCAACATCGGCTCAATAAATCAGCATAGTACTGCTCTGTAATAGTTTTTCCCTTTTCTAAATAGTCGATGAAGATCACGCCTTGCGCATTCCAAAAAATATGGCTATCACCTTTCCGGCCGATGGGACTTTCTTAGCCTCCTTTGAAGCACGTTCACCGGATGAAATCCATTGTTTTGACTGTTCTTGATCTCTGGTGTGTAGTGATGCATCCATGTTCCATCAACGTTACGACTCGACGCAAAAACTCCTGTGGCGTTTAACACGTTAACTGCCACACCAGTTTCTAGGAATCGGCACTAGATTTTCCCCACGAACCGGCGCCTGACTTTTGTTTTACTGGAAAAAACGAAATTATGTATACTGTGCCTTCTGCGAGATTGAAACATCATCTGTAAGAAAACATTAACTGTCCCAACATCTACTCACTTACGTTTATCATTTATTTATGCTTTGATTTACGTATTGAGCAAGTTCTGACACGCTCGTCCATTTACGGTGTCGAGTGGCGCGAATGGAAAGTCAGAAAATCGGCGTAGCAGTTACGTGTTAAACAGCTCCAAACACTGCTTCAAAATTGATAGCCGCATCCGCTTGCTGTCCATTGTGAGCAATCGCAACACCCATTGGACCGACAGTATTTTCATTCCGAAGTTATCATGGAAAATAATGAATACCATTCCATACACGCCTATAGCTTCTGCTACTTCATATACTTTAGTTCGGTGATCAGCGAGAATCATGTTGTTGACCTTTTCAACGATTTCATCAGTAACTACGTCCTCATCATTATCTCATAGTAATATCAACTTGTGGCGCCTCACTCACTCACTCACTCACTCACTCACCACTCACTCATCCACTCACTCATCCACTCACTCACTCACCCACTCATTCACTCACTCATCCACTCACTCACCCACTCACTCACTCACTCACTCACTCACTCACTCGCCCACTCACTCACTCATTTACCTATCCACTCACTCACTCATTCACTCACTTACTCACTCAGCCACCCACTCACTTACTCATTCATTCATTCACTCACTCATCCATGCACTCTCTTACAACTCTCTTACAACTCACTTTCTGCTTTTCATTTCTTCAATGTTTTTAATCTTCGTTTCTTTATTACTTGATTACATTAAAAACAACTTTGTTATAAACAGCATACCTTTTACTCTCTCCAGTTATCAAACTGTAAACACGTATTTTTACAATAATAAAGTTTGTTAAGTTAAATATTGTATACATTTGGTTACATTTAAATAAACCGCCACAAATTTTGATGACCCCAACGTGAGACATCATTGAATTACGCAGTCGTGTTTGTGAAGTGTCATAAATGGGAAATTTAATTGCTGAGCAGCTGCATTTTCTTGAAAGTGCATTGGAAACTTCTTATTTGTCAAGCCTTCATGAGAGAGAGAATCATTGAGCTTCGAGATGCCTGTTGATAGGCAACTCCTGTAAAAGCTAATTCGGATAAGGTGGTTACTATTATAACTTTGGATTTATCGCAACAAGCTAGAGTCGGAACTTCGGGTATGCCAAACCTGCAAGCTAGTAAGTCGAATCAGATCAATTTAAATTAAAATTACCTATCTTTTGACATAAACAGCCAAAATTGTGGTTTGCTCAAATTGAAAGCGAATTTTTACTTTTTCGCATATGATCTAATGAAATGAAATATAGTTCAGTAATTCGGCATCTCGATGAACAAGCATTGATTGCAGTTTCTGAAATTAGAAATTCGCCGTCAGTTGATAAATATAATTATTTGAAGAACGCTTTGATCAATCGTTTTACTGATTCAGAAGAGAAACATTTATGACAATTAATTGCGGGAATTGAATTAAATGATAGAAAGCGTACAGAAATTTATGTGAAATTCGGCAATTATTTGGCACTTTGTCTGGTAGTATGCTTCATTCTATTTGGTTACAACGATTATCGTATAAAGTTCCAGCTACTCTTGCGATTGTTGAAAATGTCCTTTTAACCAAGTTAATTGAATTTGACAGTTCTTAAACGCGATACTAGATATCTAGCTGTCGTTGTCAATTCCTCTCTTGATGCCAAACAACCCGATTTTTTTGATCTTGAAAAATGAATTGCGATTTTAGAAGTTTCGTATCGGCGAAGTAAATCTAGAAATTGTTTAAGTAGAAGATATTCCTAATCAAATTCCTGAAATAGAAAGGTAGTCACTGAAGGCCATTCTATGTGCTTTTATCATAGAAAATTTGATAATAAAATTAAGAAATGTACCTTGTAGCATGTTGAAAATTTTTTGATGCTCAGGAAAACTAAGTTTGGCGTTGGAACCTGCAACTTTTGACAGCCTCGAATTGTCGCTGTGTCATTATTTATAATAGATTCTGTAATCTCAGTTTTTTTCATTGATTCGGGCGCGGATATTTCTTTGCTTCCTAGAAAAATATTTAAATACAAAACAATACCTTCTGACTTTAAACTTTTTACTGCGAATGGATCTAAAATCAACACTTACGGTTTAAAAACTGTCACGTTGGATCTTGGTTTACGAAGAACTTTGAAAGTTCTGCGTGATTGACATTCAAAAACCTATTTTAGGCGCAGATTTTCTAGTTCACTTCAATCTTCTTATTGATGTTTAAAACAGATGTCTTATTGAGTCTGAAAAAATTGGTGCAAATTTAGGATGTCAACCAAGTTTCTGTTTGTACTATCGCCTAACTCTTTGTATCATAGAATTCTAAAAGATTTTCCAGAACTCACGCGTTTTGTTCCACTTTCTGTAACTGGATCTCATGATATTGAACGCCGAATTACTACTATGATCAAAAAGTAAGTGAGTTTGTTTTGTTTTAAAAATTCGCGCGCTTTATGTATCGATATAACCATTTGTTTTCAAGTTGGTATGATTGTCCTTGACATCTGACAGAAGTTTCAAATCATTTCACTTAAGTTAGAGTATAGCGTTAAGTTAGAAATTATAGCGTTTTTTTCTAATTGTTAAAAATTTTTGTCGGTGACTTTAAAATGGATACATTAACTACATTTTTTTATCGAGCAAAGAATTTGCATTAAATTTTGTTTAAAAAAATGAACTATACCTTGAATGAAATTTCTTGTGCTGATGCATTAAAAATATTAAGAAAGTGTTACGATGGAGCTATATAAAAAAAATGTAATATTTACAAGTGGTACAAAGACTTTAATGATGATAGAGAGGCAGTTGAAGATAAACTTTGTTCAGAAAGACCTTCCACGTCAACCAAGAAGAAAACATTATCAAAATTAAGGATCTTAAACTGAATAATCATCGATTAAGTATTAAAGACATTGTAGACATTACTGGAATATTATTTGGATCAGTTCAATCAATTTTGAAGAACAATTTAGGCATTACGATAACGCATCATTGCACATCGCAATAATTATTCGTCAATAATTATTCGTTTTTTGTTAAAAATCACACAAATACTGTTCCACAAGCACCATGTGACTTTTTCTGGTTTCCTCGATTGAAGAAATCACTCCGTAGATGCCGTTTTGAGTCCATAGAAACCATCCAAGAAAGTTCGCTTTGAAGGAAATAATAGAAGTCGGATATAAAAACTGTTTCGAAGACTGGAAAAAACGTTGGAATAAGTGTATTGCAGTGGAAGGGGATTACTTTGAAGGAGACAAAATAAATTTGGATAAATAAATAAATACTTTGTGTTTTATTCAAAAAGTCACCTTACTTTTTGATCATAGTAATATTACTGAAGAACCTCCTAAATTCTTAATATCAAGAAGAATATCTCCAGAAAAATTCAGATTTGCAAAAAAGGAATTAATAAGTTCATGGTTGAACAAGGTATTTGCAGACTATTGAGCAGTACTTAAGCAGCACCTTTTCACATGGTACCTAAAAAAGAGCAAAATACATGGAGATTATGTGGTGACTACAAAGCTTTGAAGAGCGACAATACCTGTTATCCACTATCTCATATTCAAGATTTTTCTGCAGCACTCTTTAGTAGGACTATCTTTTCTAAAATTGATTTAGTCAAAGCTTATTATCAAATTCCTGTTGCGAAGGAAGATATTCATAAGATAGCAATAATCCCCTTTGGATTTTTCAAATTTTCAGTTATGCTTTTTGGTTTAAGAAACGTGACTTAGACTTTTCAAAGGCTTATGAACACTTTATTGAATGATTTAGATTTTGCTTTTTGTTATCTGAATGATATTCTTATTGCTTCTAAAGATGAAGATAAACATATTGCTCACTTACGCGTTATTTTTAATCGTCTCCAAAATACCGAAATTTCTCTAAATTTTTCTAAATGCCTTTTTGATCAGAAAGAAGTTTTTTTTCTTGGTTATGTAATTTCTAATCAAGGCATCAAATTTACATCAGAGAAAGTACAATCAATTATTAATTTCTCTAAACCAAAAACGATTCATGATCTATGAATATTTATAGAAATCATTAATTATTACCGTCATTGTCTCAAGAATACAGCTAATCAAGTGCTGCTTACTGATAATTTAAGAAACTCTCTAAAAGAGACAAAAAAGAAATTTTATGAATTTCAGAAGCTTAACAAGCTTTTTAGAAATATAAAGATAATCTCATTAATCTCTGTTTCCTTGCTTTCTCATCCTGCACCTCAAGTCCCCTTAATTCTTACTTGTAATGCTTCTGATTTTGCTGTTGGTGCATCTCTAGAGCAAATCATAGATAATGTTAATAAGTCTATTGCATTCTTTTCTGAAGAAAATTAGACAAAACTCAAAAAAATTATAGTACTTATAATAAATGAGGATAAATGAGAATTTCTGAGCATTTACTTAGCTATCAAACATTTTAGATATCTTTTAGAAGGAAAACAACGTATTATTCGCATGGATCACAAATCTTTAACTTATGTCTTTCGTTAAAAATTAGATAAAATCTTCAAGACAGATAAAGCAGTTGGATTTTATTATTCAATTTTCTTCTAACATAATTCACATTTCAGGAAAGGTTAATATGCCTTTTTATATTGCCTTTCTTATCTAGAATTGAATCAATTTCAATACCAGTTGTAATTTTGCTAGAGGAATTAGCTGACTATCAAAAAGAAGACGAAGAATTTCAAAACTTACTCTCTTCTGATTCTTCGTTACATTTGAGGAAGTTGATTTTCACTGGATCTTCAGCACTTATATATTGTGATTGTTCTTTGAAACTAATTCGACCTTATATTTCTCAATATCTTCCTAAGAAAATTTTTGATGTTATTCATGGTCTTTCTTATCTCAGTGGAAGATCTACAGCCAAACAATTACTGTAAAAGTTCATTTGGCTTTCTTTGAAGAAAGATGTCAAAGAATAGACACGTACTTGTCTTGCATGTCAACAAGCAAAAATTTCTAGACATACCAAGAATGTGCCAGTTCAAATCCCAATTCCTAATCAACGTTTTCAACATGTTTGGATTTAATTGGTTCTCTTCCTACATGTCAGAATTTTCAGTACTGTCTTACAATTATTTTCAAGGTGGCCTGAACTTATATTACTTAAGAATGTTTCAGAAACAATTTCGACATCATTTTATTCACATTGGGTGGCTAAATATGGGTCCCCTGTTATCATTACATTTGATCAAGGTCCGTGATATAAAGCATTATTACTGAAAGCTTTAACGAACTTAATTAGATACAATCGCATTCGTACTTCGTACTTCGACTTATCATCCTGCTTTGAATGGCATTCTTGAAAGATAGTATAGAACAGTTAAAACTACTACAATGTGTCACCAAATACATAATTGGTTGGAGTTTTTTATCTTCACTTTATCTTCAGTTCTTGGACTTCGCTCTTGTTTCAAAAAAGATTTGAATGCTGAATCTGTTGAATTCCTCTATGACACTTCGAATTCCAGGAGAATTTTTTACTGAAGAAGATTTTTCAGTGGATTCTTGGAGAAATTTTTGGAAAAACACAGAATTTACATGAGGAACATAAATTCACTCCGACAAGTTATCATAGAAAAATTATAGAAAATCACCTTTTGTGCATAAAAATTTAGTCGATTGTACTTATGTTTGAATAAGAGAAGATATATCAAAAAAATCTCTCTAGTCTTCTTATTCTGATCCTTTTCCTATTGTTAATTGTATCTTTGATTATTTGTTTTCAATAAATGTTGTAAGGAAAATTGTAAATATTTCCACAGAACGTTTAAAGTCGGCTTTCTTACCTAGAGAAATGTTGATAACTCATCCGGCTCATCTCCAGATGCTCTTTCTAGTACTTCTCAGCAATCCTCTATGATTATGCCAATCTCTCTCTAGATTTCCTTCCACATCATCTACAATTCCTGTGGCTCTGAATCATCTACAATTCCTCTGGCTCTGAAGAAAGATTTTTGCGTACCTATCCTGCTGAGAAGAGAGTTAGATTCGCAACGTAATCGTCGCTGGGGGAGAAATACTGTGACGCCTCACTCACTCACTCATTCATCCATACACTCTTACAACTCTCTTACACCTTCTGCTCTTCACTTCTTCGATGTTTTTACCATTCTTTTTTTTGTTACTTAGTTACATTAAAAACAACAACAACTTTTGTTACATGTCTTTTATTCTTTTTCCAGACATCAAACTATAAATTTTTACAATAAAATTCGTTAAGTTAAATATTATGATGTACATTTAAATAAACCGCCACAATCTTGCATCAATAACGCCGCCTGTCTTCAAATACAGGTACTTTTTTACTTACCTTTGTACGGGGGAAGTCCCAGTTGCGTAAGAAATGGACACACGGTAACTGCAATCGGACACAGTGACAATCGGACACATTGAAAATTGGACACAATACTAATCGGACACAGTAGCAATCGGACATAGTGCCAATTGGACACAGTGCCAATCGGACACAGTGCCAATCGGACTCAGTGTCAATCGGACACAATAGGAAATAGACGCACGGATAGTTAAAGACGAGAGGGCGAAGTCCCCTAATCAGGGATCCAGGGGGCGAAGCCCCCCCGGTTAGAGATCCAGAGGGCAAAGCTCCCTGGTGGGGGAGTTAGGGAAGCGACCCCCTCCCCCGTCACCATCACAGAACTAATTACGAAAACAATACAAAATTATATTTGTAACAAAATGACCAGCGAAAATTTCACACCCAATCCTTGCGTTGGAGGATTGTCTTTGCTAATCTTTCTAGGATCTATCATTTTAGTATATGATAGACTCATCAATTTGGTAAGGCAAAAGATTACGTCTTCATCCCCAAATCTTGCGTAGGGGTCTTTGCCAATCTTTCTAGGATCTATCATTTTAGTAAGGCGAAAGATTGCATCTTGCACTTCGAATATAATAACACTTTTAATACTTTTTTAGGAAAACTGTCACGATTGCAACTATTCCTGCGTCCATTTCCTATTGTGTCCGATTGGCACTGTGTCCGATTGCTACCTGGTGTCCTCAAATAACAGTTTTTGGCCTCCTTTCCACACGACTTTTCTACCGTAATGTATATCTCTACACAAAGAAATTTGAAATCCCTTTTTATCCTGTTCTTGAACAAAGACAGTGAGCGATCACTTCAACGTGAGCTAGTGACGGGATCAGATATTAATTGAAATTAAAGGTAAAAATTTTTAATATAAATAATTGTTAATTAAATTAATTTTATTTTATATAACAATATATTACATATTTAACATAATAATATAATAAATAAATCTTTTCTAGATTAAAAAAAAGTATAATAGGCAAAAATCGAACCCGAGTCGACAGATTGGTAATACAGAGCCGGACGCCCGCGCCCTACCCAATCTCGGCGACAATGAGCTTAACGTGGCCGGTATATAAGGAACGCTATAAACTTTAAACTGGTTTTTCTCGAAAACAACTGAATATTGCATCCTATCCTTTTACTCAAGTATTCTTCTAGTAGAGTACTTTAACATATATAAGTTTTTTCAAAATCGGTGTTCCGAAGTCCGCGTCCTCCTCTTTTAAATCACGAATCGCAAAAATAGAGAGGCGTCTATTCTGCAATCTGCAATCCGCACCCGAAGCTACTTTTCCTTGGCTGAATTTCGATCCGCGATTCGCGATCCCAATCTGATCCGCAATACGTAGTGTGACACGGGTTTTAGACTCTTCTCTTGCGAAATGTTGGTTCTTAGAATTTCCTAAACTCCAAGGATGAAACAAATGATTCTTGTGGAGAATGAGCCCCTTTCATCTAAGATCGGCTGCAGTATTTCGATACGGATCGAATTGACCGATCTCGAGGGCGAGCTCCTCCTCCACAGAAGTGATAAAGAATATTGTGGAATAAGTACAATAATTAGAGTTAAATTAGGATTTGAAGCGAGGAAAAGGAATAGGAATTTGGTAGCGCGGTGCTCGGTGCGTGGAGCATGCCTGCTCCGTGACAGGGAACGTGCTTATTCTGTGGCACGTTGTTCAGCGCGGCGCGGAAAGGTTTTCCACGTAAACACCCGCGAATTCTCCGAAATAAGAGAATTTTTGATATGGATTAAAAATTGGCGTAAGCGCTAATTTGCGATGTCATGTTGCACTCCGTCCAGTGATCAGCGATCTTCAACAGATGATCGGTCGAAGGAAGTTGGAACAAAGTGGGGAGGGACGCTTCGTTAAAAATCATGTCGCAGATTCATAATGTTGCGTCATACATTTAAATAATTTCTTGATTTACGTCTATACTATACTTCTGTATTTCGAAGTGTGGAAAATATTGTACTTAGATTAGATTCCAGTAAAGCTATCGACATTGTTTTTAAATATTCTGCAATAACGAAATCGCTCATGATTACTCACATTCATTTTATGATAAATTCCACAATTTAGTTGACGAATATTTGCATCAGTTAATAAGTAAAACAAATATTGTTGATTTAATCTATATTGCGGATTTTTAGTAGATATTAAGCGACATTCAATAAATTTTGTAAATGATGAAGTTTAATCTATTTAGTCTCATATTGTCCGTTAATGTCGAAAAGATATAAATTT